CAATTATAGTAATCACTTTGAAAGTACTCAGAAAATAACCTTTGTTTGGTCATACCTTACACAGGGCGTAACTGTCTCGTGCAGATGGTACTTCGTTTTCGGAAAACTTCACCAATGAGGACTCCTTTGCCTCCCAAACTGACGGGTAATATTCGAACGCCATCCAGTTCTGCCAAGTGAAAGAGCAATAGAAAATTTGAAGCGATTCCACGGCCGCGTGAAATAGATTTTGTCATGGTTGCATTTTTACATACCACTGAAAGCTTGTCGTGAAGGCCGCTGAACGTTGTGGATTCTTGTAAACAAACTTCAAAGCGATTCGCGGAAACGTTTGTAATCCAAACATTCATGGGGTCCTGCCCTTTGTTTGGAATTCCATGTTGCACAGTCACGTGGATTTTGGGAACTGATGAAAACGCCTTATATGAAGAGAAAACACACAGCTTTTTCTTCTGCGTTGTAAAATAGTCATGACTTTTTTTATGGAACAAAAGACAGCTTTAAAAGAGAAGGATGGAAAATGGAAGATAGACAAAGAGGCGTAGAATAAAAGGTCAAATTAACGAGTACACGACTAAGCAGATGATGAGTAAATGAATTTATTGGTTAAATGGGGAAAAATGGGAAGACCCAACGTATATGAGTAAAACTAAAGTAAGTAGGAAGTAAGGAGTAAATGAAATAGAGGCTTTGAAGACTTCAAATGAGTGTCCATAAGTTGTGCCAGAAAGAAATAAAACAAATTCAGAAGATGAAGAGAGTTAAATTGATGCAAACAGTCAATGACCAAACTACTCATTAGTAACAACTGACATTAAAAGTTAACCATACCTGAGAAAACGTAACCCACTTGCATTGTGATCCAGTAGTGAAAAGGTTAAAACGAATCTGGCCATGTGATACTCCTGATTGTGATCCTTGGAATGCAAACCAATCAATCATAGTTCTGTTGCCTTCTGGGTTTTTGCCACTCTGTTTGAGACAGGCTTTGAAATGGCTTGTTGTAACATCTTCGATCCAAA